ATGCTGCTTTGAAGGATCTGAGAAAGTTTTTTAGCGCCATGGACCACATGTTCTCGAGTGATGTGGAACAAAGCGTAACTCGCAAGGAACTGATGGGGTGCAAACAAGGGAACCAACCAGTGAGAGAATACTGGTCACGATTTGTGATGTTGATTCATAAACTTGGGTGGGATCTCAGTTCCGAACCCGTGCAAATGTTATTTGAGGAAGGTTTATCTTCTTGGGTGCAAGATGAACTTTCCCGCTCACCCCGCCCGGAGTCGATGGATCAGCTGACTAAGTTGGCGCTTGCTGTGGGAGTTCGACAAGAAACGCGTGCTCTGGAAAGGCGGGAAGGCAAAGGAGAGTGTTGGTATGACAACCGCATTCCGAACGTGCCAGCGTCAACGCTGCCGCCTGAGGAGCCGATGGAGATTGGAGGGGCGAGCGCGCGCGGGGTTTCAAACTCCAGCGAGGTCCGGAAGAAGGAGGGGAAAGCCAATAAGAAGTGTTTCCTCTGCCAGCAGCCGGGACATTTTGCCAGAGTGTGCCCTCAGAAGAGGGCGTGGCAAGGAATGGTGGGGGCAGTGGGGAGTGAGGAGGAAAGGGATAAGGCGCAGGGAAACGACAGTGCTTGGCTGCAGGAAAGCGGGCACTGCAGCCAGGCGAGCAACCAGTAGAAGTGCCCAAACCAGACCCTCCCCGAGCAGCCATCGCCATAGAGGTGATGCTAGAACTCCCCAATCAAGGTAAAGGCGCTGCTGGACTCAGGCAGCTCTTGCAACTTCTTTAGCAAGGATTTTGCGCTGGAACACCAGCCCCAGGTGGTGCCTCTAGAACACCCCTTGCAAGTAACAACTATTGATGGGAGAGAACTCTTGGGGGGGGGGAAAGTGACCCACCAGACCCCACCCATGAAAATGACGGTTTCCAGACACACAGAGACAATCGCCTTTCACGTAGCCACCCTAGCAGGACCACCCATCATATTGGGGATGAGTTGGCTAGCATTGCACGACCCAGTGGTGGGGTGGCATCAGCGAACAGTCACCTTTGGGTCGGCCCACTACGTAGAGTACTGTCACAGAGGGGCAAACCAGAGGGTGGCAGTAGCAAGAGTGGCAGGGATGGCGGTGGGGGAAAGGGGAAGGGTACTACCTCAATATGCTGATCTAGAAGAAGTTTTCAGCGAGAAGGAGGCGGATAGACTACCCCCCCACAGGCCCTTTGACTGTCAAATCAACCTGCTTCCAGATGCGCAGCTGCAGTGGGGAAGTTGTACGCCATGTCAGATAGAGAGATGCAGGAGTTGCGCAAGTTTATCGACAAGAACCTGAAGAGAGGGTTTATACGAGAGTCCAGGGCGGTGGGAGGTAGTCCAGTGTTCTTTGTGGACAAACGAGACTCCAAAGAGCCCAGGCTTGTAGTTGATTACAGGGGGTTAAACCGGGATTGACAACATCTTGACCAGGGTAAGGAAGGGGAAGATTTTTACCAAGCTGGACCTGAGGGGGGCGTACAATCTGATAAGGATGAGGGAGGGGGATGAATGGAAAACCACCATGTTCACTCCTCTGGGGGCCTTTGAGTATTTAGTTATGCCCTTCGGATTACAATGCGGCTCCAGCACTTTTCAAGGATTTATGCATCACGTGCTCGGCTCACTGCTGTACAAGAATTGCGTGGCGTTCTTGGACGACGTGCTGATCTACTCAGAGAACGAGGAACAGCATGTGAAAGACGTCAGGGAAGTGCTGAAAAGACTGCAGGAGCACCAATTGTGGGTTAAGCTGGAGAAGTGCCAATTCCACGCCCGAGAGGTGGAGTTCCTAGGTTACCTGCTGTCGGACAAAGGCTTAGCCATGGACCCGGGTAAGGTGCAAGCAGTGCTGGAATGGAAGCCGCCCAAGAACCGGAAGGATGTGCAAAGGTTCTTGGGGTTTGGAAACTTCTACAGGAAGTTCATCAAGAACTCTGCACATTTGATGGCACCTATAACGGATTGCCTGAGTAGCAAGAAGAAGTTTGAATGGACGGAAGAGGCACAGCGGTCTTTTGAGAAACTTAAGAAGGTGTTCGCCTTGGAAGAACAACTCTTACATGTGGATCTGCGGAAGCCAATGAGACTGGAGACGGATGCATCAGACAGAGCGGTGGGGGGTATATTGCTCCAGCCGGGAGAAGGGGAAATTTGGAAGCCGTGCGCCTTCTTTTCAAGAAAACTGAACAAGTCAGAGCAAAACTACACGGTGTACGATCGAGAGCTGCTGGCGATTCATGAGGCGCTGGAGACATTTTTTGATAGGTGCCCAACACAAGATCCAAGTGTGCACTGACCACAAGAACTTGGAATATTGGAGAACTGCTCGAGTGTTGAACCAAAGACAGGTGAACCCGGTAGCCTTTAGGCTCAAATTGCCCCCCAACATGAAATTGCATCCGGTTTTCCACAGGTCCTTGCTCTCACCGGTCAGGGAGGGAAGGGAGTGGTTGGGCCAAGAAGGAGACTCGTCCTTGCTTCCGTCGATGGAAGAAAGAGAACTCAGTGGGCATGCAGCTGAAATTCTCGATTCCAGGTGGAAAGGAGGGCGAGTGGAGTATTTGGTAGCTTGGGAGGGGGAGTCAGAAGCAGAGAACACATGGGTTCCAGCGGAGGAGTTGGGGGATGAGTACATGCAGGAGGCTTTCCATCGCAGGTACCCGAGGAAACCCAAACCTAGAGAAAGGTTCTGGGAGGAGCAATTTGGCACCACAGATGATGAAGAAGATTTTGTGGGATTTCCCAATTCTGAGGAGGGGGAAGGAGCATTGTTCGAAGAAGAAGAATCCGAAGGGGAAGATTGGGGGGTGGAAAGGCACAGCAGCAGATGGAAAGGGGTATTTGAGTCATCAGATGGAGAGGATAGTTCCTTCCGGGGGTTCCCGGGGTCTCCGTCCAAGGAAGGGGCGGGGGAGGAGGAGGGCCCTGGGAGGGAGGTGGATGTCAGGAAACTGACATCGGAGCAGAGTGGAGAGGCTAGGCTCCCCAATGATGCCGGAGAGGGAACCAGTACAGGGGTAGAGAGGGCTTCCGCTGGGGAAGAAAGGCAAGGTGACACCAGGAAGAAAGAAGGGATTGAGAGCAAGCAAGATTCTGACCTAACACAAGTGAAGAATTATAGGCAGATTTCTCTGCTGAATACAGACTATAAGATTTTTTCTGGAATATTAGCAAAAAGACTAAAAAAGATTCTGCAGGAACTTATCCATGCAGATCAGGCAGGTTTTCTCCCAGGCAGACAGATGAAAGACAATGTGAGAAATATAATAAATATTGTGGAATATCTGACTGCCAGGAACGAGAAACAAGCTATACTAATGTTTGTAGATGCGGAGAAGGCTTTTGATAATATATCGTGGGAATTTATGTTAAAAATAATATACTTACAGAAGAAGTGGCAGAGCCTCTGCCACCTGGGTCTCAGTAGCTGCTGCTGGTGCCTCCGCCGTCAGAGCTTCTACCGCCTGATGCTCTGGTGCTGGTGCCTCCAGTTCCAGAGTCTCTACCGCCTGGGCCTCTACCGCCTCAGCCAATGCTGCCTGTGCCATTGCTGCTGCCGCTGGTGCCTCCGTTTCCCGAATCTGTACCACCTGAGCCTATGCCGCTGCCGCCTCCGCCACCGGAGCCTCTTCCGTCTGGACCTCTGCCGCTGGTGCCTCTGCCGCCTGAGCCTCTTCAGCCTGGGCCTCTGCGGCTGGGGCCTCCGCCACCTGAGCCTCTTCCGTCTGGACCTCTGCCACTAATGCTGGTGCCTCCGCAGCCGGAGCCTCTTCCGCCTGGGCCTCTTCTGCTGCCGCTGGTGCCTCCGCCACCAGAGCTCTACCGCCTGGGCCTCTACCGGTGCCACTGTTGCCTCTGCCGCCAGAGCCTCTACCGCCTGGGCCTCTGCCGGTGCCGCTGATGCCTCCACAGCCTGAGCCTCTACCGCCTGGGCCTCTGCCACTGCCGACTCCGCAGCCTGAACCTCTACCGCCTGGGCCTCTGCCACTGCCGACTCCGCAGCCTGAACCTCTACCGCCTGGGCCTCTGCCACTGCCGCTGGTGCCTCCGCCGCCAGAGCATCTGCCACCTGGGTCTCAGTAGCTGCTGCTGGTGCCTCCGCCGTCAGAGCCTCTACCGCCTGGTCCTCTGGCGCTGGTGCCTCCACTTCCAGAGTCTCTACTGCCTGGGCCTCTTCCGCCTCAACAAATGCCACTTGCGCCACTGCTGCTGCCGCTGGTGCCTCCGTTGCCTGAATCTGTACCACCTGAGCTTTTGCAGCTGCCGCTGGTGCCTCCGCCACCTGAGCCTCCTCCGTCTGGGCCTCTGCCGCTGGCGCTGGTATTCCGCAGCCTGAGCCTCTACCGCCTGGGCCTCTGCCACTGCCGCTGGTGCCTATGCCGCCAGAGCCTCTACCGCCTGGGCCTTTGCTGCTGCCGCTGTTGCCTCTGCCTCTGCCGCCAGAGCTTCTGCCACCTTGGTCTCTGTCGCTGCTGCTGCTGCGGCTGCCGCCAGAGCCTCTACCGCCTGGGCCTCTGCCGCTGCCACTGGTGCCTCTGCCGCCAGAGCCTCTACCGCCTAGGCCCTTGCCGCTGACGCTGGTGCCTCCGCAGCCCGAGCTTCTGCCGCCTGGGCCTCTGCTGCTGCCGCTGGTGCCTTCACCGCCAGAGCCTCTACCACCTGGTCCTCTGCCACTGCCGCTGGTTCCTCCGCCACCAGAGCCTGTACCGCCTAGGCCCTTGCCGCTATCACTGGTCCTTTCGCCGCCTTAGCCTCTACTGCCTGGGCCTCTGCCGCTGCCGCTGGTGCCTCCGCAGCCTACAATTCCCATCATCCCTGACCACTGGTCCTGCTAGCTAGTGATCGTGGGAGTTGTAGGCCGAAAACATCTGGAGGGCCGAAGTTGGGGAAGCCTGATTAAGAGGATGCCAGAAAGGTGAGTCTTTCTGTAAAAATGGGATTTGAATCTGGTCTAATTCATGAGGGATTAAAATCACAAAAGCACTCCGAGCACTGATCATTCCTTCCTCTCGTTGTCCATCTTAAGATGCCAGCAAGGGTGAGTCTTTCGGTAAGAAAAGGATTCAAATCCCCCAATTCTCACCTTGGCCTCCTCGGGGCTGATGTGGTGCATGGTAAAAAGCACCCCTTGGTCATACACCAGGCGGAAGTGCTCGCCTGTCTTCTCGATGCTGATCACGTCTGCGGGAAAAGAGGGCGGGCGTTACAGTGGGATGCCAGTGTGGTGCAACCGTCACATAAACCCAGTTTTCTGCCCTGCAGAATGTCCCACCACTGGAAATCGGGCATTTCAAACCCCGCTACTAGAAACCTAGGGCCTCACCCATGAAGCCCGCCGGGTAGGTGACGTCGGTGCGAACCTTGCCGTCAATCTTGACAAAGCGCTGCATGCAGATCTTCTTGACCTCGTCGCCCGTCAGGGCATATTTGAGCCAGTTGCGGAGGAAAATCACGAGCGGGAGGCACTTGTGCAGCTTGTGGGGTCCCATTGACGGGCGCGGTGCCTAGAACCCCAAAAAGAAACGGGAAGGTTACAGGGCGGCAAACCTAGAACGCCTGAAACTGCAACTCCCATAATCCGGTTGGCCCTGTTGCTATTATTATTATGATGCAACATTGAGAAAATATCTGAAGGCAGCCATCTCTAGGGAAACTTTTTCATGTGTATTATTTCAAAAAAAATCTATTTATAAAATATAGACAGACTTCCACTGGGCATGGAAGCTCAATAATCTAAGTATTTATTTATTTAGTGTTTTATTCATGCATCTTCCCAGATGTTATTTTACATCTCTTCATTGTTTTGTCAGAATGTTCGACTGACTCACCGACTTATCCTTCCCCAAGATCCTTTATTTTTCTACATATTGTTATTTTGATCTATAATATTGTGTTACGAAGAAGCCCAGGTGCAAACTAAAGCCCGAAGTGCAAGGCTCCCCTTTTAAAAAGGCTTGTAAAAGGTAATTACAAAAAGATGCTTGTCCAGCATCCAGTGATTGGGAGCTGCCGCCCGTTTCAGGTGCTTCTTGGGTCCTCGAGCCTGAGGGGGGGGAAGCAGGCAAAGGGTGTAGGTTCGAATCTGCCCGGATGTTTAAGCAGATCATTCTCGCAAGGCAGCAGGCTGCACTAGATGACCCACGGGCCCCTTCCAGGCGCCCCTGTTCTATGAACCCACCCCCAGCTTTTCAGTAATCACCATTTTAATTTATTCCCATTTAGTTTCTAGTTGAGCATCCTTGGGCTCCCTTCTCCCTTAGGGAGCCAGTGGCAGGGAGTTCCCCTGGCCCCTTCCAAAGCGATCGCTTTCCCCAGATGTTGTTGGACTACGACTCCCATCATCCCTGAGCTCTGGTCTTGATGGGAGTTGTAATCCAACAACATCTGGGGAGTCACAGGTTGAGAAAGACTGGTTTAGAGGGCATGTCTGGCCGGCGGCCTGGTTCCCTGCGGCCCGCACTGCGCATGCTTACACCCCCCCAAAGACCGAGAGAGCCCCGCTGTGGCGCCTCCGTGCCCCCGTTTCCCCGCCCCACGGAGGAGCGGCGTCTCCCATGCCCCTGAAAGCACCGCGCTTGGCGGAGCCACCGCCTCGGACGGCGACGGATCGCTCCAACGACCCATACCCTACATACTCACCATGGCTGCGGGTTCTCGACGCTAAAGGAGAGCACTTCCGCCGGCCGGGGGTTATATATCCGGGTCAGGAAGGGTGGGGCGATGAAGCGTAGCGCCACCGCAGCGACGCCTGGTGGATGGGAGCAGCATCGCACTGCGCGGGAGCTTCGCAGCCAATGAAATGGGGAAATGGGATCCCGAGAGGCATCTACAGTGGTGCCTCGCAAGACGAAATTAATCCGTTCCGCGAGTCTCTTCGTCTTGCGTTTTTTTCGTCTTGCGAAGCACGGCTATTAGTGGCTTAGTGGCTTAGCGGCTATTAGCGGCTTAGCGGCTATTAACGGCTTAGCGGCTTTAAGAAAAAGGAAACAAACTCGCAAGAACTCGCAAGACGTTTCGTCTTGCGAAGCAAGCCCATAGGGAAATTCGTCTTGTGGAACGACTCAAAAAACGGAAAACCCTTTCATCTAGCGAGTTTTTCATCTTGCGAGGCATTCGTCTTGCGGGGCACCACTGTATTAGGATCCCCTGAAATGGAAAAATGGGATCCCCAGGGGCATCTAGTCTGACCCCCTAAAACGCAGAAATGGATGCCAAGAGGCATCTAGTCTGACCCCTGAAATGCAGGAATCTCCACCAAAAAGATAGGGAGGGAGGCAGCCGGCACCCACCTTCAGGCCTGTTGGTGGTGTGGTCGCGGGTGGGGCAGGCTGGGGACGGTGACGCCTGGGAGCTGCAGTTCCTCACCCAGGTGAGGTTCTGGTTGGCATCTGCTGACTACCCACACCAGCCCTCCTCGAAGGGGCTCATGTGGAAGGTCTCTGGGGGGAGAAAGGCAGGTGAGAGGGGGTCCCAGGATGCCTTTTCCACCCTCCCCCACTTCCGGTGGTGCCCACGTCCCCCCGGCCCCCAATGCCCCCCAACTGCTCAACACAACCCTGTTCGTCGCCACAGTCCTCGGTGCCATCACAATGACAGACAGGGGCCACACAGGCGCTTGGCAGGCAAGCGTGCTTGCCTGGGGTAAAGCTCCGGGGACCTGGAAACATTGGGGTGGTGAATGGGGAGCCTCCAAGCCCAGAGGCAGTCTATCTGGTTGGTGGAAAAGAAAACCTTACTTTGGGGGCCACAGTTCCTGAACTGCACATCATCCAGCACCACGCTCGTCACCAAGGAGAAGGTCACCTGTGGAGGGGGAGGGAGCGCTCTTGACATGCTCCGGAGAAGGAGCTGGCGAGGGAGAGCGAGGAGCCCAAGACCCACCTGGAAAGGGCAGCGGACTATTCCGGTATAGGCCAGTAGGGGGCACCAGGCACCAGAGGACAAGGTGGGGCTTCGCCACAGGGGGCCGTGGCTCAGCTCCAATGAGAAGCTCCCAGTGAGTCTTGCATGGGAAGGGCGGAGGGGTGAGGGATCCAGGGGTCACCTAGTCTGACCCCGGTGAGGATTGCGAATTGTCATCTGGTCTCAGCCTCTCTCGTTTTTATCAGTCTCCAATGGGGGATGGGAAGCAGGGCATCAGTAAATGATAAGAATGGTCAGGATGGTATTTCTTTTCCCTACCAGGCGGGTCAGTAGTCTGGAAATCAATAAATAATAATCATCTGATACGATACGTCCTACAGTTTAGAAACATATTATATAATATTGATATGGAATTATGAGAACCGGGCCAGGCGGCATTTCCCCCACCACACCGGGGAAAAGGCCAAGCGGGTGGCTCTGTGCCTGTTGGATTTCCGACCACCAGTGCCCCAAGCTTACCTGTCTCGGCCATGCTGTATGTACCAAGCGCAGAGCTCACAGGCTGAGGTCGCGTCGCTCAGGGTGGGGGAGTGGAGTCAGGCGGGGGCAGCAGGCGGCTTGGCTCGTTGCTCCGAGGTGCTCATGTACCAGCCTGAGGGGAGGTCGGGGGACCAGGTCAAAGGGGTGCTCTAACTGCTAAGCAATGCTTCCCCTCCCTTCATATGAAGCACATTTACCCTGGTTGGTGCCCAGCGTGTGGTCGAAGGGGGGGTCAGCGGCGCACACCCAGCCTCCGCCCTGCCCTGGGTGCCACCGGTACCCAGACATGCTGATGTCCTCCCAGCCGCAGGTGGTGCCTTCAAAGTTGAGGGCCAAGGCAGCGCCCGGCGGTGCCAACCCATTCCGGTAGCCTGGAAGGAGAAGGAATCAGGCGCCCTGAGCAAGCTACAGTTCCCAGCATTCTGGGCACCAAGTGCCCTTAGGAGACCCCTGTTCCCCCCATGAGCTACAGTTCCCAGAGTTCTCTAAGAAGAGAAATGGGCTTGGGAACTGTAGTTCTGTCAAGGGAATCGCAACCCTCAATGCCCAGAGCAAGCAATCATTTCCAGGGTGCTTTGGGGGACATTGTGGGAACTGTAGTTTGTTCAGTTTCCCAAGGAGACCCTCTCAGCGCTATAACTCCCAGCATTCCATTGGAAAGGCTGTGCTGAATATTCTCGTCCTGTAGGAAACTACAGTTCCCAGGGTGCTTTGAGGGATGCTAAGATGGGTTAAATCACACTCTACAAGGGGAATCGAGGCACGTCTCCCTGATTCCTTTGGCGACGCCAAAACTTACTGCAATGGCTCTCATCAGAGCAATCCCAGCGGTTGCGGGCAAAGTTGCAGGCGCTGGCACTTGAGTTCCCATAGGCACCCAATAATTAATATTTACAAACCAGCAACTTCACAGCAGTTTTGGACACTTGCAGCAGCTTGCAATGTTAAGAGAGGTGCTCTAAATAAAAGCACTTTCTACATTTATGAGCCTTCAGAGTAGGCTCATGTTTTTTCCTTTTCCTGGAGGTATAAATGTTATTAGCATATGTGCAATCACCCCGAGAACTTTAGGCAGCACTTCCTCTGCTCTCAGTCAGCAAAAGGGGATGGCAAGGGGTGCTTCATGGCGTAACTTAACTTGCAGCTGCAGGAGAAGTGTAGATCCCTCAGCCATACCTAAATAGCCTTCAAAGTGCCATTTAAGAGTGCAGCATCTAGCTGTGCTGTGGACACAAAGGTTGTGAGGTTGATCCCCGTAAGGGACACCTGCAAATTCCTGCCTTGTAGCAGGTTGGACTAGATGACCCTTGGGGTCCCTTCCGAATATATACTCACCCACTCACCCACCATCTTTGGAAAGTGCTTCAGAAAGAAGAGAAATAGCATTCCTTTAAGTTAGTTGTAGTTGTTGGCATGCAGAGGGTCGCAAGGCCAGCTGGGTAGCCCCAGTTGGGTCGTCTCCTTCCAGCTGCCAGAGCCGCCAGAAGTAGAGGATATGGCTGTGGAGGCACCAACGGCAGCGGCAAGGGTCCAGGCGTTAGCGGCTCAGGGTGAGGAGTTACCAGCGCCAGCAGCAGAGGCCCATGTTGCAGAGGCCCAGGCGGTAAAGGCTCGGACTGTGGAGGCACCAACAGCAGAGGCCCAGGCAGTAGAAGTCCGGCGGTGGAAGTTCCAGCGGCAGCGGCAAGAGCCCAGGCGGTAGAGGCTCTGGCGGCTGAGGCATCAGTGGCAGTGGCAGTGGCAGAGGCCCAGGCGCTAGAGGCTCAGGCTGCGGATGCACCAGTGACAGTGGCAGAGGTCCAGACGGAAGAGGCTCAGGTGGCGGTGGCACCAGCGGCAGCTGCAAAAGCTCAGGTGGTACAGATTCGGGCAACGGAGGCACCAGCGGCAGCAGCAGTGGCGCAGGCGGCATTGGCTGAGGCGGTAGAGGCCCAGGCGGTAGAGACTCTGGAACTGGAGGCACAAGCACCAGAGCATCAGGCGGTAGAGGCTCTGACGGCGGAGTCACCAGCAGCAGCTACCGAGACCCAGGTGGCAGAGGCTCTGGCGGCGGAGGCACCAGCGGCAGTGGCAGAGGCCCAGGCGGTAGAGGCTCTGGCGGCGGAGGCACCAGCGGCAGTGGCCGAGGCCAAGGCGGTAGAGGCTCAGGCTGTGGAGGCACCAGCGGCACCGGCAGAGGCCCAGGCGGTAGAGGCTCGGGCTGCGGAGGCACCAGCGGCACCGGTAGAGGCCCAGGCGGTAGAGGCTCTGGCTGTGGAAGCACCAGCGGCAGCGGCAGAGGCCGAGGCGGAAGAGGCTCAGGTACCAGAGGCAGCAGCAGCAGTGGCAGAAGCTCAGGTGGTACAGATTCGGGCAACGGAGGCACCAGTGGCAGCAGCGGCTGAGGGGGTAGAGGCCCAGGCGGTAGAGGCTCAGGCTGCTGAGGCACCAGCGGAACCAGCAGAGGCCCAGGCAGTAGAGGCTCGGGCTGCGGAGGCACCAGCGGGAGCAACAGAGGCCCAGGCTGTCAAGGCTCTGGCGGTGGAATTACTAGCGGCAGCGGCAAGGGTCCAGGCGGTAGAGGCTCTGGCGGCGTAGGCACCAGCAGCAATGGCAGAGGCTCAGGCTGTGGAGACACCAGCGGCAGCGGCAGAGGACCAGGCGGTAGAGGCTCTGGCGGCGGAGGCACCAGCGGCAGCGGCAAGGACCCAGGCAGTAGAGGCTCTTGCGGTGGAAGCACCAGCGGCAGCGGCAAGGGCCCAGGCGGTAGAGGCTCAGGCTGTGGAGGCACCAGGGGCACTGGTAGATGCCCAGGCGGTAGAGGCTTGGGCTGCAGAGGCACCAGCGGTAGAGGCCCAGGCGGTAGAGGCTCTGACGGCAGAGGCACCAGCGGTAGAGACAGAGGCCCAGGCTGTAGAGGCTCGGGCTGCGGAGGCACCAGCGGCAGAGACCCAGGCAGTCGAGGCTCTGGCGGTGGAATTACTAGCGGCAGCGGCAAGGGCCCAGGAGTTACAGGCTCTGGCGGCGGAGGCACCAGCGGCAATGGCAGAGGCCCAGGCGCTAGAGGCTTAGGCTGCGGAGATACCAGCGGCAGCGGCAGAGGACCAGATGGTAGAGGCTCTGGCAGCGGAGGCACCAGCGGCAGAGGCCCAGGCGGTAGAGGCTCTGGCGGTGGAAGCGGCAGAGGCAAGGGCCCAGGAGGTAGAGGCTTCCGGGTTAGCGCCATCGCCTAATGGCGGATTCCCTCCGAGCTCCGGAGGGAATCAGCTCTGCAGGGGTCGGGTCCTGCCGCACCGGCGACGCAGGGACCCTTAAAAACCACGGGCGCGGAAGCCCGTGGACCTGGTGACTCGGCGGGCACCGTTTGCGCTCCCTGACCCGCGAAGGAGCCTTTTTAAAGGCTACGGAGCGGGGGACGGGGAGCGGCGCGGTGCTGTGAGTCTTCTGCTTCCCCTGCCGAGAGAAGCCGCATTCCATTCGACGGACAGCGCTGACTTCTTCCTCTGAAAATTTGGACTAAAAACAACAACCCGTGAGTAATTTGGAAATTGGACTAAAAACTTTCTTGGATTTGGTACGAGCGGGGGAGGTGCAAAGAGGAAGTCCGTCTCCCCCCCCATTGTAAACAATTTAAAGCAAGGATTTGACAACGAAGGTCAAGAGAAGAGCCTTTTCTTTATTGGATAAAAGTTATTAATTGCACGGATTGATAGTATAAGTAATTGTGCTGGAGGATAAGAGCTAACTTTCTGACTTAAAGTGCCACCCCTCCTGGAACCGGGAGTGATCCGCGAGAGGAGCCTGCTGAGGAGACACAGAAGATTTTGACAGCTGTCAAATTAGCTGTCAAAGTCGGGGAAAATAGAGAACCTTATTTCTGATGTTCTTGCCGGTTACATTAGATACAATATAGTTACAAGTTGTTGAAAATAAAGAAGGACTGAAACAAATTAACTTGACTTTTGGGTTGGAAGTGAAAGGAATACTGAATAACCAGAATCCCTCTAGAGGGGGTTCAGGGTCATTACAAGAATGGAAATAGGTCGGAAAATACTAGCTGACCTGGACGAGGTTGTTTTTCTCTTGGAAAAGTTGCGAAAGTTGCATGAGCAAGGTCATGTTTTGTCTACATGTGCCATAACTTCGAAGTCAACATTAAATGTATCTACTGAGCTGGAAAAGGACTTGATGTACAAAACCCAGGCAGCTGAACAAGAAAAGAAATTAGAGAAAATTGAGGAAGTGGAGAAAGAGATATATGCTGAACAGGAGGAGCAGGAAGGAGGGGCTGCAATGCTGCAGAAGGCAACAGAGAGCCGGAGGCCTGTCAAGACGGATATAAAAGAAAATAAGGACTGGATGAGGAAAATTTGGTTTGAATTCAAAAATGAGGAATGGAAAGATCTCCTTTTGTGGGGATCTGAAGATCTATGGACTATAAACTTGATCAAGGTGGAAGTTGGAGCCTTTGGGTTATTCGGACTTAAAAGGATTAAGAAACAAGATTTGAGCTCCACCTTTAAACATGGAGGTCTGGCTGGAAGGAACATGGACAGAGCTTCTCCGAGATTTGGTGCTTGATATAAAGGACTACCAAAAAAAAACGGCAAAGAGGAACTGAGAGAGAATTAAGGGCCTCGGATGTGAGGTCTCCAAGCTGATAGCAGATAGACTGATTTGGGATAAGAACTTGTTGAACTAAACAAATGGAAATGGAATACAAGAAGGGGAGGTGTGGGGAAGTCTCGGAAAGATGTTATTGAAAGTAAGGTTCAAATGGTAAATGTTTTCTTTTTTCTTTTTCTTTTTTCTTGGATTTCTTGAAAATTTCAACAAATATGTTATTAAAAAAAAAAATAGAGGCTCAGGGTGAGGAGTTACCAGCGCCAGCAGCAGAGGCCCATGTAGCAGAGGCCCAGGCGGTAAAGGCTCGGGCTGTGGAGGCACCAGCAGCAGCTACCGAGACCCAGGTGGCAGAGGCTCTGGCGGTGGAGGCTTAGGCTGCGGAGACAGCAGTGGCAGCGGCAGAGGACCAGACGGTAGAGGCTCTGGCGGCGGAGGCACCAGCGGCAGAGGCCCAGGCCGTAGAGGCTCTGGCGGTGGAAGCGGCAGCGGCAAGGGCCCAGGCGGTAGAGGCTCAGCGTGAGGAGTTACCAGAGCCAGCAGCAGAGGCCCATGTGGCAGAGGCCCAGGCAGTAGGGGTTCGGGCTGCAGAGCCACCAGCGGCAGTGGCAGAGGCCCAGGCGGTAGAGGCTCGGGCTGCGGAGGCACCAGCAGCACCGGTAGAGGCCCAGGCGGTAGTGGCTTGGGCTGCGGAGGCACCAGCGGCAGCGGTAGAGGCCCAGACGGAAGAGGCTCCGGTGGTGGAGGCACCAGCAGCATAGGCTCAGGTGGTACTGATTCGGGAAACTGAGGCACCAGCGGCAGGAGCAATGGCGCAGGCAGCATTGGCTGAGGCGGTAGAGGCCCAGGCGGTAGAGACTCTGGAACTGGAGGCACCAGCACCAGAGCATCAGGCGGTAGAGTCTCTGATGGCGGAGGCACCAGTGGCAGTGGTAGAGGCCCAGGTGGTAGGGAATCAGGCTGTGGAGGCACCAGCGGCAGTGGCAGAGGCCCGGGCGGGAGAGGATCTGGCGGCAGAGGCAACATCGGCACCACTAGAGGCCCAGGCGGTAGAGGCTCTGGTGGCGAAGGCACCAGCGGCAGCGGCAGAGGCCCAGGCGGAAGAGGCTCAGGCGGCGGAGGCACCAGCGTTAGCGGCAGAGGTCCAGACGGAAGACGCTCAGGTGGCGGAGGCACCAGCGGCAGAGGCCCAGGCGGTAGAGGCTCTGGCGGTGGAAGCGGCAGCGGCAAGGGCCCAGGCGGTAGAGGCTCAGGGTGAGGAGTTATCAGCGCCAGCAGCAGAGGCCCATGTGGCAGAGGCCCAGGCGGTAAAGGCTCGGGCTGTGGAGGCACCAGCAGCAGCTACCGATACCCAGGTGGCAGAGGCTCTGGCGGTGGAGGCACCAGCGGCAGTGGCAGAGGCTCAAGCGGTAGAGGTTCGGGCTGCAGAGTCACCAGCGGCAGTGGCAGAGGCCCAGGCGGTAGAGGCTCAGGCTGTGGAGGCACCAGCGGTACCGGCAGAGGCCCAGGCGGTAGAGGCTCGGGTTGCGGAGGCAGCAGCAGCACCAGTAGAGGCCCAGGTGGTAGTGGCTTGGGCTGCGGAGGCACCAGCGGCAGCGGTAGAGGCCCAGACGGAAGAGGCTCCGGTGGTGGAGGCACCAGCAGCATAGGCTCAGGTGGTACTGATTTGGGAAACGGAGGCACCAGCAGCGGCAGCAATGGCGCAGGGAGCATTGGCTGAGGCGGTAGAGGCCCAGGCGGTAGAGACTCTGGAACTGGAGGCACCAGCACCAGAGCATCAGGCGGTTGAGGCTCTGACGGCGGAGGAACCAGCAGCAGCTACAGAGACCCAGGTGGCAGTGGCACTGGCGGCAGAGGCACCAGTGGCAGTGGCAGAGGCCCAGGTAGTAGAGACTCAGGCTGTGGAGGCACCAGCGGCAGTGGCAGAGGCCCGGGCGGTAGAGGCTCTGGCGGCAGAGGCAACATCGGCACCGGTAGAGGCCAAGGCGGTAGAGGCTCTGGTGGCGGAGGCACCAGCGGCAGCGGCAGAGGCCCAGGTGGAAGAGGCTCGGGCTGTGGAGGCACCAACGGCAGAGGCCCAGGCAGTAGAAGCTCTGGTGGCGGAAGTTCGGGGGCAGCGGCAAGGGCCCAGGCACTAGAGGCTCTGGCGGCGGAGGCACCAGCGGCAGAGGCCCAGGCGGTAGAGGCTCTGGTGGTGGAAGCGGCAGTGGCAAGGGCTCAGGGTGAGGAGTTACCAGCGTCAGCAGCAGAGACCCAGGCGGTAAAGGCTCGGGCTATGGAGGCACCAGCGGCAGAGGCCCAGGCAGTAGAGGCTCAGGTTGTGGAGGCAGAGGCACCAGCGGCAATGGCGGAGGCGCAGACGCTAGAGGCTCAGGCTGCGGAGACACCAGCGGCAGCGGCAGAGGACCAGGCGGTAGAGGCTCTGGCAGCGGAGGCACCAGCGGCAGAGGCCCAGCCAGTAGAGGCTCTGGCGGTGGAAGCGGCAGCGGCAGCAGCAAGGGCCCAGGCGGTAGAGGCTCAGGCTGTGGAGGCACCAGGGGCACCGGGAGATGCCCAGGCGGTAGAGGCTTGGGCTGCGGAGGCACCAGCGGCAGTGGCAGAGGCCCATGCTGTAGAGGCTCGGGCTGCGGAGGCACCAGCGGCAGCGGCCCAGACAGTCGAGGCTCTGGCGGTGGAATTACTAGTGGCAGCGGCAAGGGCCCAGGCAGTAGAGGCTCTGGCGGCGGAGGCACCAGCGGCAATGGCAGAGGCCAAGGCGCTAGAGGCTCAGGCTGCGGAGACACCAGCGGCAGCAGCAGAGGACCAGGCAGCAGAGGCTCTGGCGGCAGAGGCACCAGCGGCAGCGGCAAGGGCTGATGCCCAGGCGGTAGTGGCTTGGGCTGCGGAGGCACCAGCGGCAGCGGTAGAGGCCCAGGCGGTAGAGGCTCTGACGGTGGAGGAACCAGCAGCAGCGACAGAGACCCAGGTGGCAGAGGCTCTGGCGGCAGAGGCAACAGCGGCAGCAACAAAGGCCCAGGCGGTAGAGGCTCTGGTGGCGGAGGCAGCAGCGGCAGAGGTCCAGACGGAAGAGGCTCAGGTGGTGGAGGCAGCAGCGGCAGAGGTCCAGACGGAAGAGGCTCAGGTGGCGGAGGCACCAGCGGCAGAGGCCCAGGCAGCAGAGGCTCAGGCTGCTGAGGCACCAGCAGCAGCGGCAGAGGTCCAGACGGAAGAGGCTCAGGTGGCGGAGGCACCAGCGGCAGCTGCAAAAGGTCAGGTGGTACAGATTCGGGCAACGGAGGCACCAGCGGCAGCAGCAGTGGTGCAAGCGGCATTGGATGAGGCGGTAGAGGCCCAGGTGGTAGAGACTCTGGAAATGAACGCACCAGCGCCAGAGAACCAGTCGGTAGAGGCTCTGACGGTGGAGGCACAAGCAGCAGCTACCGAAACCCAGTCTCTGGCCGCAGTCTCTGGCTGCGGAGGCAACAGCGGTAGAGGCAGAGGCCCAGGCTGTAGAGGCTCGGGCTACGGAGGCACCAGCGGCAGTGGCAGAGGCCTAGGCAGTCGAGGCACTGGTGGAATTACTAGCGGGAGTGGCAATGGCCCAGGCGTTAGAGGCTCTGGCAGCGGAGGCACCAGCGGCAATGGCAGAGGCCCAGACGGTAGTGGCTTGGGCTGCGGAGGCACCAGGGGCACCGGCAGATGCCCAGGCGGTAGTGGCTTGGGCTGCGGAGGCACCAGCGGCAGCGGTAGAGGCCCAGGCGGTAGAGGCTCTGACGGCGGAGGAACCACCAGCAGCGACAGAGACCCAGGTGGCAGAGGATCTGGCGGCAGAGGCAACAGCGTTAGCAACAAAGGCCTAGGCGGTAGAGGCTCTGGTGGCGGAGGTACCAGCGGCAGAGGCAGAGGCCCAGGCGGAAGAGGCTCAGGCGGCGGAGGCACCAGCGTTAGCGGCAGAGGTCCAGATGGAAGAGGCTCAGGTGGCGGAGGCACCAGCGGTAGCGGCAGAGGTCCAGACGGAAGAGGCTCCGGTGGTGGAGGCAGCAGCAATGGTGGGACCAGCGGCAGCAGCAATGGTGCAGGCAGCATTGGCTGAGGTGGTAGAGGCCCAGGCGGTAGAGGCACCACCACCAGAGCATCAGGCGGTAGAAGCTCTGACGGCGGAGGCACCAGCAGCAGCTACAGAGACCCAGGTGGCAGAGGCTCTGGCGGCGGAGGCACTAGCGGCAGTGGTAGAGGCCCAGGCGGTAGAGCTCGGGCGGCAGATGCACCAGTGGTACCGGCAGAGGCCCAGGGGGTAGAGGCTCGGGCTGCGGAGGCACCAGGGGCACCGGCAGAGGCCCAGGCGTTAGAGGCTGGGGCTGCGGAGGCACAAGCGGCAGGGACAGAGGTCCAAGCAGTATAGGGTGTGGCGGCGGAGGCACCAGCGGTAGTGGAAGAGGCCCATGCGGTAGATGCTCTGGCGGCAGACGCACCAGCGGCACCGGCAGAGGCCCAGGCGGTAGAGGCTCGGGTTGCGGAAGCACCAGTGGCAGCGGCTCAGGCGGTAGAGGTTCTGGCGGTGAAAGCACCAGCGGCGGCAGCAGAGGCCCAGGCAGTAGAGGCTCTGGCGGCGGAGGCACCAGCGGCAGTTCAGAGGCCCAGGCGGTAGAGGCTCAGACTGCGGATGCACCAGCGGCACAGGCAGAGGCCCAGGCGGTACAGGCTCAGGCTGCGGAGGCACCAGTGGCACTGGCAGAGTCCCAGGCGGTAGAGGCTCGGGCTGCGGAGGCACCAGCGGCACCGGCAGAGGCCCAGGCGGTAGAGGCTCGGGTTGCGGAGGCACCAGTGGCAGCGGCCCAGGCAGTAGAGGCTCAGGCTGCAGAGGCACCAGCAGCAGCAGCAGAGGTCCAGACAGAAGAGGATCAGGTGGCGGAGGCACCAGCAGCAGCTGCAAAAGCTAAGGTGGTACAGATTCGGGCAACGGAGGCACCAGCGGCAGCAGCAGTGGCGCAGGCGGCATCGGCTGAGGCAGTACAGGCGGTAGAGACTCTGACGGCAGAGGCACCAGCAGCAGCTACCGAGACCCAGGTGGCAGAGGCTCTGGCGGCGGAAGGCAAGAGCGGCAGAGGCCCAGGCGGTAGAGGTTCGGGCTGCGGAGTCACTAGCGGCAGTGGCAGAGGCCCAGGCAGTAGAGGCTCAGGCTGTGGAGGCACCAGCAGCACTGGCAGAGGCCCAGGAGGTAGAGGCTCGGGCTGCGAAGGCACCAGCGGCACCGGTAGAGGCCCAGGCGGTAGAGTTTCTGGCAGCGGAAGCACCAGCGACAGCGGCAGAGGCCCAGGTGTAAGAGGCTCACGTGGCGGAGGCAGCTGCGCCAGGGGCAGAGGTCCAGATGGAAGAGGCTCAGGTGGCGGAGGCACCAGCGGCAGCGGCAGAAGCTCAGGTGGTACAGATTCAGTTAACGGAGGCAAAAGCGGCAGCAGCAGTGGCGCAGGCGGCATTGGCTGAGGCGGCAGAGGCTCAGGCGGTAGAGATACTAGATGTGGAAGCACCAGCGCCAGAGGCCCAGGCGGTAGAGATACTAGATGTGGAAGCACCAGCGCCAGAGGCCCAGGCGGCAGAGGCCCAGGCAGTAGAGGCTCGGGCTGCGGAGGCACCAGCGGTAGAGGCAGAGGCCCAGGCTGTAGAGGCTCGGGCTGCGGAGGCACCAGTGGCAATGGCAGAGTTCCAGGCGGTCGAGGCTTTGGCGATGGAATTACTGGCAGCAGCGGCAAGGGCCCAGGCGGTAGAGGCTCTGGCGACGGAGGCACCAGCGGCAATGGCAGAGGCCCAGGCGCTAGAGGCTCAGGCTGCGGAGACACCAGTGGCAGAGCCTCAGGCAGTAGAGGCTCTGACGGTGGAAGCACCAGCGGCAGCGGCAAGGGCCCAGGCGGTAGAGGCTCAGGCTGCGGAGGCACCAGGGGCACCGGCAGATGCCCAGGCAGTAGAGGCTCGGGCTGCGGAGGCACCAGCGCCAGCGGCAGAGGCCCAGTCAGTTAAGGCTCTGGTGGTGGAATTACTAGCGGCAGCGGCAAGGGCCCAGGCGGTAGAGGTTCTGGCGGCCGAGGCACCAGCATCAGTGGCAGAGGCCCAGGCGGTAGAGGCTTGGGCTGTGGAGGCACCAGCAGCAGCTACCGACACCCAGGTGGCAGAGGCTCTGGCGTTGGAGGCACCAGCGGCAGTGGCAGAGGCCCAGGCGGTAGAGGTTCGGGCTGCGGAGTCACCAGCGGCAGTGGCAGAGGTCCAGACGGAGGAGGCTCCGGTGGCGGAGGCACCAGCGGCAGCAGCATAGGCTCAGGTGGTACAGATTTATTATGATTCATTTATTGTGAATCAGCAGCTTTTTGCTGGTTGAAAGAATGGCTACTTCTTGAAAACACAGACATTTTGGATCTGGAAGGTTTTAACAATGTATTTGGATGGCATGCATATCTGTGGTATGATAAGGTCAAAGCGCATAAAGCATTTAAAAACCATATTGTTAGGAAAGCACTCTTTAATGTTTGGATAAGATATAAGGATTTATTGGAAAATAAAACCCCAAGGTGGCTGTCACCGATGGAAGCGAAAGCTCAGAAAAAGCTCAATATGGAGGTTAAATGGCCGAAATATTGGCAAATTTTGGAACAAGATGGAGATAGACTAAAACTGTA